AGTCAATGATTTTTAAATGTGGTAACTTCTTACGAAATACTATTTTGTATTTTTTTATGTTAGAGCGTATAATTTGTAAGATCGTGTTGATATTACGCAGTGATGTTTTGCGAGTTCTGCAAAAGTTAGGTAAAAAAATAACACGAATGTCTTGATAGTGATCGTTAGTACATTGTTAATCTAACAGAATTGTGATTGATCTAACCAACACGGCTATTATGCTTTAGAATATATTTTATTCTATTGTAATTCTTTACTTCTTTAATCCTTTATAAAAACATTTAGAAATCATGTAACATATCTCCCTAGGTTGAAAAGCGATAAATTCGATTAAATATGTAGTACTGAGTTGTAGACATTAATAACTACCTTTAATTTCATTAAAAATTGGTTAAAACGGAGCCAAGTTTAAAAGCTAGTATATCATAAATTACGCGCTCAATAAATTACTCATACTAATATTACCTCCTACAAACGTATGTTTCACTATAAATCTACTTGTAAATCGCCGCTGGCGTACTGTAAACATAGTGAGTATAATAAAGTGCTAGTTATTGGCATAATATTATGTGAGTGAAGAAATAAATCATGAATTAAAAGCCTTCATACGCTTTGTTTGAAAAAATGACGTCACACAACCGAGACTCTATTTCATACGAAACTTTAATCCAAAATTTACTTTAAATTCAAATAGAATTTTAGATACAGAGATATTGAAACAGAATGGTAATGGTGTTACAATACGAACCATTAAGAGAAACGATTAAGTTGCCAATGTTTTTGTGACGCGATCTTATAGACAGGTTTGGCAATGTGTTAATGCAAATTAATGAAGTTGTTATACAGTGAGCGGTATTCAACGTACGGGTATCTGTATTTATTTTCACAATGGCATTAATAAATTGATATTGCTCTTTTGTTATTTCACTTTGTCATTGATGTACGTTTATCCCATGTTTTTTCTTTATATATTTATTGCTGCTAACTAAACTGCTATTCATAATGAGGATAGTTTATTTGTGTGGTTTTGTCTAGGCTGTATTTTCATAGACGGCGTCGCGGCGTTAGCTTCCAGGCACGTTGCCTACCAGGGTCAATGAACCGACGACCGTGACCCCCCCTCCCTCTTCCATCTTCCCCTTCCCCCTACATTTACGATATCAACTGACTAAAAGTATTGTGTCATACTATTTTCGATTGTTAATGTAAGTACAAAAAAGTCTCGCCGTGTTAGCTAACTCAAGGAATTGCGGTTTTGAGGCATAATTCATTATTATAAAGTAAGCGCTAACCAAAACCATTATTGCAAAGCCTCAGCTTCCACAAAGGGTTTACAAATTGCTGCACGTTGAGTATTTTTTTTTGTGTTAACAGAAAAACTCAAGCTCAATTTTAAAGCTAAGCTCTCTGAACTACCAACAATTGTTTAATAAGAGTTTGAAATCAATTTTCACTCGTTGCAGCATTCTGCTTCGTAATGAGGCTTAATTAAAATTCTGACTATAAAGTAAGAATCATAATTGTGAATTAAATGCGTGTACATTCTTTAAGGTTTACAAAGCTTTTGTATAACAGGTATAAATTGACGAACGGCAGCCAACACGCATAATTAATAAGGCAGCTCAATACCACCGTAGTTAATGTATATAATTTATTCTTTAATACATATTTAATGAAATTCATATCAATCAGCGAGCTGTTATGCTACCACATTTAATTTTGATTGACATTACTCTTTAATGTAAATATAAAGTATATAATATATATACATATATACGATGTTGAAAGTGTTACCTAAATGTTAAAAATAAGGTTATTTACCAGAAGTTTATTCTGCCCAGAAAGTGGGTCATCTCAATCATCGTCTAAGATATCATTCTGGTTTAATGGACGTCCGTCTGCGATCTCTAAAGTTTATTAGTTTATTACAATACTTACTTGTTACATTGTCCTATATTGCTTTTGGCATCTCTACTTAACGAGTGCTGTAAATCCTGAGACCTCGTTTCGCTCGATTGCCATTTATTATATGAAGCTTATTAAGTGTCGCAGTTTTCAGATGCAGGCCCATATTTTCTGGCATTGTATATTTTTTGATTACATAGTATTCTGCCTACTATTGGGCATTAAGTTTTCACTATGGAATTTACTATAAGACAATGGCATAATATTATTAATATTTTTTTGGATGACACGACTCGCTTTAATCTTTTTATTTATGCCTGTTATATATCTTGGATTTTATTGTAAAATAGTTACCAAATTGTTTTCATCCTTCCGTAACTATCATATATATATATTAAATACGGAGAAGTAGAGGCCATGTTGAGAACTGCTTCCTATTTGACTTAGCGGTTGCGAATAGTTCTTTCCGAAACAATTTCTTACGTACAAAATGAAATGTAGAAAGTTTAAAGAGTCATCTAGGCAAAGGAATTTAAAGTTTAAATACCGACTAGATACAACAGACGGAACGAAGGAAGGTTAAAATTACTTTTAGGATGAAAAGAAAATGAGAAAGGTTAGCTTTTGCAGAAATCAAAGCTTAGGATCGATTGGACATCTTCCTGGTAAATCTCTGATATCTGTAAAATATATTGGCATCATATCAGATAAGCCTAGATAACGTGTGTTGAAGAATATATTTCAAAAATTCCTTGAAGATTATTTATTTTCAAAGAAATCAAAATAAAAGGTAGATTGAAAAATATTTTATCCTACGTTCTACGGATAATGTAAATGATAAAAGGAAATTCCTAGAGAATGGCGATGTAATATTAGGAAAGTAAGCAAGCACGCATTAAGACAAAAGGATTCCATACGGGATGAAAACGATACAGTATTAGGACCAAAAAGATTTCTGGTGAAATATGAAACATTTGACATTTTATCTAAAAAATACTTAATAAAAAGGTTACCAAAGAAATGTGTACATCCTTGTGTAAGTCCTCAAAATCAAAAGAGCACATCTACAGAGTAATAAATACGGTGCTTCGCATGAAAAAACTAAAAATAGAATATAATAAAGGGAATCCTGCGACCACGCCTGTATGAAAGTGAAAAGATTTAAAGAAATACAGAATAAAAAATGATGAAAAAATATTTCGAATGCAAGAGTACGTTAAGCGTAGACGGTCCACCGTACCGGTGTACAAATCGAGAGTCACACACAGAACCGCAATCTAAAATATCAAAGAGCAAAAGGGAATGGTTCCCTCGTTGTACGGAACCACTATTACGATATACAAAAATGAATAGTTACACAAGTCATTCACATTGCTGTCAATGTCTGCTATTGCTTTAACAATACATTTATATGAAATAAATTATACGTATTCATATTGTAAATGTTAATAAGCTGTGTTTTTAATACTTATTATGTTTAAAAATGTAAGCAAACATCATATTATTGCTCATATATCTTCCAAGTATAATTTATTCATGACAAATATTTATCGGCAAATAGATGTACGTACTTATTTTTGAACTAACGCCAGTATTATTATTAATATAATTTTCGATTCAGTAGTAAACAAGTACGTATAACACGAAACTTGTATTTTTTTGAGTCGGTTATTATTTAAAGTGTCACATTAAATTAAAGTTTTGTAACATACATATGTTTGGCCGTCATGATTATAAAAGACATAATGTGTAATTTCATTCTTTAATGCCGTAGTCGCATATGATGTGTTGTTTTTCTCGTTTCCTTAATTTTCCTATTCGTATCAAAGGTTAATAATGTACTGTTGCCTTGGCTCCGGCCATAACGTCCAACATTGAAAACTTGAACACTAAATATATTGTCGTAATACTGTTTGTTTGTTAAGTCTATTTATATTTATTGCGACCTCCGTAACAATCATCAGTTTAAATAGTACTTTAATTCGTTATAATAAACTTGTGTCGGAATATTTTGTTTGCTTTATAAGTTATATTAAGGCGTATTTTATTAAGTTACATTGCTAAGTTTTTTGAGGAGCTGGAAATTTGTAGCAATCGGGGTGATTTACATATAGTTATGATTTCCTCCATTCTTCTGTAGTTTTGTCTTTTTTCTTTCGAACACCTAGGACACACTCAGCTTTTTTAAAGAGACAATTGTCTAGTAATACATATGAGATCTTTGTGAAAACCTCTTTTTTGTTTAGTCGATTAGCTGATGATTTGTTAATAATAGGTTTTTTTAAAATAAATTGTAGTAATTTAAAATATCTAAAAATATTTATATTCAGAGATTACATATTTTGATCATCGCGTCGCATTTTTTACCTGAATCTAAATTAAAGATGGCCAGTATATATTGTTAAAGAATATTTGTAATTTCCTTTAATAAAATAATAAAAGATTTAACGTTTAAAATACAGACTCTCTTTGAATGTCGAGAGCGTCACTAATTGTTATCCACGAACGCTTTGAGTTCAAGATTGTTACGTTTTACTAACGCTAACGTGTTTTACTTGTCTATATTCTAAAGTGTATAATAGACCTTTGTGTAAAATGAAACAGGCCATGTTTCATATAATTATAATTAATGAGGTCCTTGAAGTGGCAACTTTTGAGCCTATTCCCTAACTGAAGACAAACATCCAGTTATGCTAAGATTAATTTACATGAATACGTAATTGTTATTCGGGCCAGTTAGTTGGGTTTGTCTTCAATTAGTGACCCGACAACCATGTTATTGCATTCATTTGTTAAGCAGTTCTGATTAAAATTAAAAATGTATAATGAGATCTAACACTTTTGCGAGTATTCATTTAAATGAAACTAATATTATTCGTTCGTTACGTAGGGAACGTCGGGAGTATGTAGTTCTTAAACATAATAAAATACGCGTAGTACTTTGAATAACATTAGTTTCATTAAAAAATGTATATAATATTTAATATAAATATAGGTAACATAGTGTTATTAATTTGGCAGATGAAGCGGCGGTCGTTGTCGAAGGGTGCGAAGGCGCAGGTGAGGTGAAGTGAACGTGGACGAAGCTGGGTGAGATGGATCACGCGGTGAAGGCTATGTCCGACCGGGGACCGGTGGCGAGGCTTTTTACTCGCCGTCGCTTCGAATCCGTCGAGTTAGAGGAACTCTACGCTCGGTACGCTTGTAAACTCCAGCGTACATCTGTGGGATATGCTCTCGCGCTGTGGGCTGTCCTGGCCGCGGCACTGGCTGCAGTTGATGCTACACGAGGCTGGAGACGAGCACCTCAGGTTAGGATAATGCAGTTTTGTCTCTTGTAAAAATTACCTTTTTCCTAATACTTTCAAAGAAAGTCTTAGTAGAGATATAATATTACTATTACTACATATAAATCACTAAATTGAATACACATCGTTAAAGTTAGTGCATATGATATACATATTAAAGGGAAATTATTTTTGTATCATATTGACCCATCAAGGATAAGAGCACAAATATAATTCAGTAAATGCTGTAATCATTTGTAAAACTATTGTTTAGGTTGGCGTCCTTAGTGCTCATGCAGTACTCTGCGCCGGTCTGGCTTGGTGGTGTGGTCGTTCTGGGGGTGTGACTCCTGAGCGTCGCTTGCCTCGTGCTTGCTGGCTGGCTCTGGCTGGTGGTGGAACAGCTTTGGCAGCAACGTTGCCAGTATGGAGCCCTGGCTCGGCGGCAGAGGGCGCTGTCCACGTGGTGTGGGCCGTGTTCGCCGCTTATGCTCTTCTTCCTGTGGGCGCGCCGGTTGCAGCAGCTTTTGGTTTACTGTTGCCGATAGCACACACCATTGCTGCCGCCCTAGTTGCTCATCGATTTCCATACCACATATGGCAGCAGGTCAGTTATATAATCTCTTTTACTTATTCTTTTATATTCTTACATTTTGTGATACTGAATAACTAAACTATTAATAAATATACATATATGAATACTTTTAAAGTTTTCCTTATAACATGCAGTTAATTCATGAAGATTGTTTATGATATATTGTTTTTCAGTTTATTTTGCATTACGTTGTAGGTTATTAGTTTAAAGAGTAATAAACCGTTTTAATTAGTGTTGGAAATATAACCTTGGCCTCGTGGCGGCTTGAAACGATCGCCAAGAGAGCGAGAGAAATGTCACATTGCATTTTACGCGGCACCAAGTGTTCCTGTGTTCAATTTATCTCTGCCAAATTTTTAACTCGGAATAGAAATTACGTCACGGGAGACGTATTAATCATTTTATGTTATAAATCTAAATTGGCACTTGGAAGTTATGTTCTGGATTAAAACACTTAGGAAATAAATTTTACGTTCAATTGAAGTATTACTTCGTGATATTTCCTTTATTTAAAAGTGGTAAACAAGTGAATAGCTAAAAATTACAATTGATCTTTTATTTCTTTCTATCATTATAATTTATAAGCTGTTAGGGATTTCATATTTTATGTAAACTACAATTTTACAAGAATGACTTGAATCCGAAAGGAACTGCATAAAAGCAAATAATAATTACTACTAGACAAATCGATAGTTCTTAATATTTTAAAGAAACGTGACGTGACTTCGAACACTCATAACACAAAAGCTTTCAGCCCCTTAAGAATACTTCGCATATTTAATATTACCAAAAAGAGAAAATTCTATAGAATACCATAAGAATGACCCAAAATACGTTAAGTTCATATATCTACACACACACACATATGTATAAAATGTTTTTTGAGAATCCTCTTTTTTTAAGTCGGTTACAAAGCGTAACTTCATGTGTTATAATGCGTGTGTTCTTGAATAATTTGTATTACGTAGGTGTGAAGCTTTAGACGTCGCGGAGTTATAGTTGTGTGAAGCCATTTAGATGATTGTAAAAAATCCATAGCGTCTCACACTTACTTGTTTTAAATAAATAACTTGTTTCATACCGCAGTTTTGTACGCGGCCAAATAAACTAATTGGCAATTTTAGTTTTGTGACTGTTGCACTGTGATCCTTATTTACATATTATAAATTTTGTGCATTATTTTTTTTATGAAAGAGTCACAAAAAATGTAGAAACAGTTTCATAAATGTTTATTTTAGCCCTGGTGAAGAGATCACCGCACTATACATACATATGTATGTATGTACGTGAGTGAACTTTGATTTCTTGTTATTTCATTGATCCATCAAGGACCATTGAAATGTGGGTTCACGTCCAATCGACGGCACTATCAGGACGACTCTTCAGAAGAAAAATGTTGGCAATTGTTGGTTACATAGAGATTGGAAACGTTACAATGTTATCAAATACGGATATAGGACTTACAAACGATATCTTATAAGTTTTTTGTTAATATATCTGCCTTATTATTTGGCAAGGACCATGTGATTGATTTTGATGGATGAGAAAATAATATTACATACACAAGACCGCCAACTATGATATTTTTTATTAGTGAAACAATAAAAAGCGACCTCCAGACGTTTCTTTGTTTGCATTTGTTCTGAAATCAAAGTAAAGCGTGAACATTTCTTTCAGATCTTCATTTTATTTATATACAAATATCTGTTTATTATAATCTTTCTTAGAATAATATCCGTGTTTTAAAAACGTTTATTACTTGGAGAACGTACACATAAGAAACAGTAGGAAATTACGATTATTACAAAAAATTAAATTAAATATCCAAGCTTCCACCAAGTTATATTTACAAGCAGTGTCATTGAATTATAAGTAGGGAAATAAAGTTATTTATACTTAATGACCTGTTGAATTTTGTATGTGTTTTATGATGTAATATAATCATGTTTTTAACTACAATGGCCCGAAGTCGTGTTACGTAAGTTGTTAGAAGGTTAATTACTATAACAAACGAATTTAATTCCTAGTTCTAGTTAATCATTGACAATGGTTAATATATTTATATTTTGTTGTTTGTACATATACCTACTGGCTACTACCTATGTATGACGAATACACAGCATCTAATTACGCGTCACACTTAAATTACTATTCATAATTTGACAAATGAACTGCGTAGCTAGCAGCGTATTGATCGCTTGCTGGTTATGTCAAATCAAATCAATGTCAATATAATGAACTTTAAAATTTGGCTGTAATTTTAGTATTAATGGTAGTAAATATAACATAAAAACATTCCGAAATCTCAGAGTTTTAGAGTAAAAAAAGCCATAGACAAATTAGTATTAATTGGCAATGTTTTATTCATTATCACGAACGCGTATTCGTTACATGCTTTAAATACTTACATATTATATTAAATATATTAACTCGATTTGGTAACATCTGGTTTGTGTGAGCCGAACTACTGCATTGAATTATAGGACATTGCTATCTTTGTAATCGTTACAAATTAGATTAACATGTTCCTTTTAACAAGAACTGCAGTATGTAACTAATTTTGGTATAGATTACATAAATGAAACTAATATTATTCGGATTGCTACGCGTATTTTATTATTTTAAAAAACTACATACTCCCAACGTTTCGGTTACTTTTCAGCAACCGTGATCATTGCAGACGAGATGTGATCACGATGGTCACGGTTGCTGAAAAGTAACCGAATCGTCGGGAGTATGTAGTTTTTTAAAATAATAAAATACCCGTAGTAATCCGAATACTATTAGTTTCATTTAAATTAATACTCGCGAAAGTTTTAGATCTCATTAGATAACATAATTATTTTAAATTGTCTATTTAAAGACTTGTGACTAATAATAATAAATAAATTTATTGTCATTTGTCCATTCTTCAACTGCGTGACTCGAGATAATATTTATGTGACATTTAGCAAAACTTTTTGGAATATACCTATTGTGAAATTACGAAACTAAGTCACAAGATACATTATAAAAATGTTCAAACTTGGCCACATAGGCTCCTTTTTATTACGCAAAAGACAGCCCCGAAGAATGGAATTTCGATTCAATATCATAACTTTGATATATGTAGGCTTACGATATGAGCTCCAAATTTTTGGTCAAAATACTAGTTTTAAAGTGTCGCAAACTTATGTTGAAGTACCGTTACATAGAGGAACCAAATATTGACTGATGCTAGTACCGAGAAGTTTTCTTAGCAATGCCTATCAGTTTCAATCCATTCAGAAAAGGTTGTTATTCTCAGACAAGTGGGTTTCTGATCCGGCTGTGATTTATGGTGACCTATCGAGAGTAATGGTTAGCTTAGCCGACCTCTGATTCTCATCCACTTGGATGGAGAACGTATTAGTCAGGGGTTCTAGGTTTTGTCGACCAAAGTGTAGTTGTGAATACATAGTTAATATTTGTTTATATCATTTAAATTAAAACTAGACAGTTACTGTAAAACTTGTTCGATTATTAGTTATAACTGGTTACTTAGTTTTTACCAATCCACGGTCCACTCAATGTATGTTTCTAGCTGTTTGAGCAACCATATATTATGTGTGACTAATATTTTAATTTTAAATATTAATGGTTTTCAACATAGTTAAGTTTTAAAATAAAATATGATAATCTTGACTCATAGCAATTACTTCATTAAATAGGTCTCCATTACCATAAGATATATTTGTTAAAAAAAATATTCATTTTATTTGTCATACTAATATCGTTTTCCGTGTTCTATTAAAATACTAATCTATATTATAATTTACAAAATGATATTTAAATTTTGTGTTCGTCACTTTTTTATTAGACTAATAAAAACGCTGGCTCTCCTATTCATAGTTTGCTTATTGTAATGGAAGGGTAGGTTTGTTTTACGATCAATATACGACTGACGTCAGTAAATTTCTAGCTGCGAAACTTTCGACACTAAAGCAAACAGTTCCATATAGAGATATTGGATTGAATTTCGATTTACAAGATTACAGAATATTAGTGTATGGCTAAGAATAATTTATATAATTCAAGGGCTTCCCGAATTGTAATATATTTATATATGTATACATTTGTATATGTGTATACATTTAAATTGTGTTTTTCAACAAGCAACCGAAGTGTCTAGAGATAAATATTACTATAAGGTCGTTAAATTTTAAACTAAATTCAATTTCAATATTCTTGTCAAATACTATTTTTATTCTTAAAATATTATTTTTATAATTTTTTGTATATGTAGAATGTTCTGTTATCTAAGTTGAAATATACGTAACACAAACATATAAGGCTAAATAAGAACTAAGATTTTCTATCTTTTCTTTTAAAAAAAATAATTGTTTGGGGAGCACTTTTACAACATATACGAAACTGCGCCCTTTACAGCTTAAAAGGGTAATAATATAATGTGAGGTATGAATCATTTATACCGGTAATAAAACATAATTTGATATTGAGACGTTAATTTTGTCGGAGTTGTGAAAAATGTCGCAATCAGCTATTGCCTTGTAATGTGCGAAATTTTAAGGTGGACTGGATTATAAGGATTATAGTTAACGCCCTTGTCAATGAAATATAACGAGATTTATAAGCAAGTTATTCTGGAAACACTAGTTGGGTGGATGGCACTGTAAACCACGCTCTGAACATTTAGTTTTAACACGTATTGGTAATTTTCAGTGCTGTCACAATAAAATTTTGTATCATCATTAATATGTGGTTGCTTCATAGAAACCAGTAAGAAAAACGTCATAAAATTCGATTTTTTTTTGTATTTGTTTCATTAAAGAGCTGAAGTGTCAACGTTACTTACAGAAATTTCGATCCTCAATACATCAAACAGATGTGAGCAAAGTGTGTTCTGGATCATTAGACCCCACGTAGTTTGAAATATCAAATGAGAAGAAAGTTCTTATTTTATTAAAAAGTAAATGAAGACAATGGGAACATGAGTTATACATATAGTAATAAGAAATGTCCTAATCTATTTGGAGTGCAAGTGATAGCTATGTAATTGAGATATTTCCAGTAAAAGGGAGTAAAAAAAATTATTTCAGATGAAAGTCTTTATACTGAAATTAAGTACTGTTCATTCAAAGATTTGTAACTTTTGTAGTCGAAAAGCCTCTAGAACGTTTTTTTATATCATTATCTGCTTTTAGTCGATTTTCATTTACTTTACGTGATTTCCTTGAAAATTTCAAAATATTCATAAGCATGGAACGACATTATTAATTACTATAACTATAAAAAATCTATATATGTTATTGCAGATTGTGTTTCTATATAACTAAACCGGAGCTAATTAGTTGGATTCAGCATCAATTTACCGATAGATCGCTTCTGTAGACTCTTGCTGAGATGTGGAACTGTATTGAACAGCGAATAAAACAATTCAACATTCTACAGTTCCGTTTGTATAAGATGGTATCAGCTGTGTGGCTTTATGACGGCAGTAATTGAAATGAAATAACTATTTAAATAAGACCAATTAATCGAACGGGCATTAAATTAAGCTAAGAAAAAATATTTGTATTGCTACGTAAATTGACTTGATATGTAAAGAAAATGTGTACTAAGCTTTCAAATAAAAGAAAAGGGTTTTATTGAACTATTTAAACCTGATTATGAGAGAAATTTGATAATTATATGTAGTAAAAAACATATTGCTAACCAAGAAAAACTTACAAATGTAAAACTAGATGGAAAGAAACAAAAATAATGTCTTAAGTCTGTTTAATTTTTTTTAATTTCTTGTTGAACTAAATATCTTGTTATAAACAGATACGTTTTTAATTGATTTTGCAATGAGCAATATTATATTCTCGGCTGGAACGAGCGCGCGTACAACAAATTAGGCTAATCGTTAATAACAATTAAACGGAAAGCGCTTAATTGAACACTGGAATTCCTTTGAAAGAATCGTTTCACACTTGGGAAATACATTTAACATTTATTTGAAAATATTTTAATACATTTTACGCTAACAAAAAAAAAGTAATTTGAATTTCCCCACGAAGTGTTCATTATATATCTGACAGAAAGAATTATTACGTTTCATTACACTTTTATTATAAAAGAAAAGATGAATTTTTATGTAATGTTATAATTTAAATAATAAACTTTGCCACAAGGTTACTTATTCGACATTATTTACACCCGACGCCCGTATGAAGGTCAAAAGCTGACACGGAGTGACAATGAAATGTGGGAAAGCTTACGTTTATTATGAGATATAACGATACTCGAATATAAAGCTGGAAAACACTCACTAAATGCGATATTTGTGTGATAAAGCTGCGAGATTATTTGAGTATAAAAACACATAATTTTTAATGTATGTAATCTATGCAGAGGAATTTAATGCGACCAATTTATCACGGTTCGTTACTTTATATTATTTACCCAACACCCACTTAGTGAGTCACATATATAGAAGTATTTTGTATATTCAATGATACTTCATATCTTTTATAAACTCCTAGTCGATCGTCTTCCTGGAAGCCAGAGCTCTTTCAATGTTCATTCGCTTCCATTCTTTTCAAATCAATGCATGTATGTAGATTTATATTCAGATCTCAATATATTGAAAAGTGTACACGGAAATTGAATTTGGAATCTGCTGACTTGTAAGCTCCCAAACATAATTTCATATAGCGAATGTGATTTTATGAATGTATCCCAAATTTTCAATATTATATTAAATATTATTATATTCATCTTTAAATATAAGCAACTCTCTGAATGTAGACATAAACTAACGGATAAAGGTCCGATACGAAATACTGATTACGTTTAAACATTATACATATTTTAAACACGGCTTTGTGTATAGTTTTTATTTATCCAATTACCAAAGCCACTCAAAATTTAGACATACAGATACACACATAATAATAATTTAGTATGATATAATGATTTATTTGTCCATCTCACTTCAAAGGCTGGGACGAGCGTAGTAACTAAAAAGAACTACCGATCGCCCCAAACATCAAACTCATCTCTGATTGATAGCCCTCATCTTTACAACCCATATAATGTAATTATTGCTGTGGATGCACATCGTTTTATCTCTTATATTATGAAGTACTTAAAGACAGGAAAGTAGCTGTCAGACTACTTATATATTAAAAGGTTGTGAGACGTGTTTGTTGGTCGTGTAGACGCCACTTTCTGATCGTCTTCGCGATACCAACCAGTTAATTGCTGTCCGGATATTTAAAAAAATGTCAAAGTTAACAGAAGCCGGGTATAATTATACGTAATTAAGTGTAAGTTGCTACTGATTAGACTTTTTGAATTGTTATTTATTGTATGTTCATGTAATTTCATAAATATATTATGATATTAAAAGGACAGCTTGATACATAATTTAGATAATTATCATTTAAATATTTGAAGTCTACAATTTAAAATTTTCTCTAACATTGTTTTGGAACAAAATTATTATTCACATAAACTTTACTCCATTCCTCTAACTTGCTCTTTAAAATAAATTCCAATAGAGTTACATAATGACCTTTGTATTTATAATTATTATAGTTGAAAAATCTTATGTGTCTGCAATAGTCAACCCTTCTACAACATGTCTATAATACATAAAATAAAGTTTTGTTTTGTGGGGACACCAGCCTAGCGGGCGGCATTAAATTCTATTTAGGTATGGTGGGTTATGCACGCATCACTGCTTATCAGAGCAGTACACATTATATTAGCTACAGTGTTATCTGTCCGCTCGTTGCTCGCTGAATTAAACTTCTACCGCTTAATTTTGGATACAACAGATTTAGATTTTTGGAACCAAATCTTTGATTTATTAAATACATGCCAAATAATATTACTCTGACGTACTGGCAGCAAACAAATGATTTTATAATATTTTTAATATATTAAAACTCATTGTTTGTATTTAATACATTTGAAATAACCACAAACAGAAATAGGCAACAAATATCGGTATCCCAAATCATCAGATTAAATTGTATGTTTGTGGTTACGGTTACCACTCCTCGATTGACAAATAAACGCTTCGTCAAACTCATTAATTAAGCAGAATTTTCATCTATTCACGAAGTTAACAAAAGTGGTGTGTGTATTCTATTTCTTTGTTTCAAGTCAAAGCAAATACAAATGCCGTTTGAGTTACTTTATGAGGCCGATGCCAGCGTGCTTTAAAAGGGTTACTGAGTTTCAGTTCGATGTAAGCAAATAATGTACCGACGGAACTTTGTTGTAACTCGGATTTTGAATTCATGTTTTGAAATGAAAGTCTTTCATAAGACCCTTTCATTTACTACCAAAATAATTATATAAGAAACTAAACTAATTTAAAGACTAAGTTACATTGTTTTATCTCAACAAATTAATTTTAGAGACTTCGTAAGTTTCTAAACAAATTACTTTAAAAAACATATACTTATTAAAATAAGAGTAGAACTTGATTGCTTTTTGTTAATCGATAAATTTATTTAATAAACAGTGTAATTTAGTTAACTATATGTAGCATATATGAAATTAATAACGTACAATTAACATTCAGTAGCTCTGATTGATAGCTCCACTTAGTTGAATATTTTTTATTGACTACCATTTTGATACATATGTACGTGACGCTTATATTAAATGAATAATTCATGCTCGTGATTATTATTAATCTTAAATCTAATATATCAAACGAACGCTCACGCTTGACCCTGAAGCTGGAGCCCCTAAGAGGCTTATGAGATTTCAGTTACAGATTTATCTTTTACTGAACATTAGAATTCGCCTTGTTGTAAATTGGATGTCGTTCGAGAGTCTTTCTTCCAAGTGTTTGGCCTTTTATAGTCGTGAATTGAAAGTATTTTTAAGGATAAGAATGATATTTTGCGATTGTTTGGATTTCATAGATATAAAGTGATTTTTTTTATGAGTTTACTAGGAATTTATTTTAGGATAAAAATGTCTTTAAGATATTAAATATGAAATAATCTTCTTTTGTTTTTGTATGCTACTTGGTATGTAATAATATCATTGTTTTTAGATGGTGGGTAACGTAGCGGTGTTCATTTGCGTGAACGTGGTAGGTGCTTTGATGCACTCTCTCATGGAGACAGCACAGCGGAGAGCTTTCCTCGATACAAGGAACTGCATCGCCGCCAGACTTGACATGGAAGATGAGAATGAAAAACTGGTAAGAACCTACGAAATAAAACAAAATGTTCTAAAGCCCGTCCCTTATACATATTACTCACACTTTAATGTATGTAATGAACTCACTCCAAAGACGTACTGAATACACAAAACCATTTTAACCAAGACAGAGATTATTTATATTCCATGCAAATAAACACTACGTGAATAAACAGGAAAATGTAGAAAAGGGTACGCTTATCATCTTTATTGCGGACTCTTCAAAATATCCTTTCGACCCTTCAAAGAGAAATTTTTATTTGGTTAATCTTAGTATTATTTTCTTTGGAAGATAGTAAAATATTTCAAGTGACAGTTTATACTAATGGAAGTTGAAGCCGATGTTAGAATTTGTTTGTTTTTGTGTATAGGAGAGGTTACTGCTCTCAGTACTGCCACAGCACGTCGCGGTCGAGATGAAAAACGATATAATATCACCAGTAGAAGGACAGTTCCACAAGATCTACATACAGAATCATGAGCAAGTCAGGTGAGTCATGAGTTCACTCATTCGATACGTATGATCACATGCAGCATGCATTATAAATGAATAATTTTATTACTACAGTGAAATATATCGTATACTATGAATCAACCAGGATAAAAAAATAATGAAAACAAAAATGTTTTATGATCCAATTTAATATAAAGACGAATCCGAATACAAAGCCGAGTGTAATATAATTTATTTTAATACTAAATAACATATGCTTAGCTTATATCTTATCTCGCGCTGGCCTTCTTCCAAATTGTGCTACAATTGATTCCTCTCGAGTCAATGAGCTTCATTATTGATTGATCCTTATCGACCATTCAATCACGACCGGTCAATATTCATACATTAAACGGCGAAATTAAATCCACATTAAGTAATTACACCCACTCTTGACATCTGAAAGCATTTAGGTTTAATCATGAGGATTAATTTTGATTAAAATGTACAATAATATGTTAGGTTTAAACATTACTTGACTTATATGATACATTAATTTAATATCTTTGGACGGGTAGATTTTTATATCTAATTTTATTAATCATTTATTAGTTCTGACGTTCATATAGCAGTTTATTTTTTAATACTTAAATTTGTCTTATAGAAAAATCACTAGAATATCGAATATCAATGAAAAATAGCCCATCAGTTATGTACGGAAGTTTTCTTTTGTTTGTCATTTGTCTCAATTGTATGTGCAATTTGCGTGACAAAGTATCAAAGCGAGTCGGCTCGGCTTAACGGAGTTAGTTTTAAAAGTCATTTGTGTTGACAGCGTTCGTAACTCATTAGGCCGTTATGAAAGTGACATGCGTTTCCGATGATATCGTTATCACCAACTAATTACTCTGTTACTAATTATAATACGATTCTTGTAAATGAGATACGGCTATTGACTTCCGATGTTTGGTCTTTAAATTATGTTAAAACAAAGCATTATGATATAATTTAGGTTATCATCGGTTACTCGTCGTAGCTCACGTATACTAACTAAAATGTAATTTCTCTCTGTAAAAAAAGTTGCGAACGAATTCTGGTTTATTTTTATACTAAAGGTAAAAATTCTAGAAATTTCTTTATTAAATTCATGGCTGTTGTAAAATGTATAACTTTTTATGAAAATAGAAACTTAAATTTATATTTATATAAAAATAGTTACAGCTATTTTCACAATTTAACATTCTTTTGCTACATTATAAAATATTTATAAAACTTAAAATATTTTGGTCACTCACATCGTCTACAGAAAGAAATGACAATGCGATACCAAAAAGTTTCCGATTGATATCTACATGTCGTAATAGTAATGACTTCAAGTGATATAATTATAGTACTAACACAACAAACACATCATATTCTATAATGTCAAAAGATATCATACTGCCCAGCAATCTGTCTGAATCATGCTAGTTTTCCTTTATGTGAGAACTTTCTACGAAGCATTAGAAAGTTATTGAAAAACTTAAAGAAATCTGTAGATCCGTTCTCAAGTTTTAGAATGACAAAGAAAATATTGCTATCCTTATATATTTAAATATAAATGTAGAGGATTGAGATGATACAATGATATATACATTTCTATATATATAGGTTTTATGAAGGAGGTAAGGAATTATAAAAACATACACATAATTTTATGCAAGATGTTCATAATACTTAGTTTTTATAAATATAAAAAAATATACCATTAGAGATTTTTCTCTCGTGGCTTTAGAGAAAATTTAAAGTAACATCCAAGCTTATGATTTTATTCAGAATCTTGAAAATGTTGAAAGAAAACATTGGTTATTATTTTAAAGTGTATTAGAGTCGATTTAGTTTTTAGAAGCACTGAACTTTGACTGTAGAGTAATTGACTTCAGAGAAATCAAACCACTTGCAATGTTCGTGGAAAAAGTATATATTTTATTCAAACAATTGTTGAAAGCACTTAAATTTTGAAATTATATTACTCGCTTGTATTTCTTGTGAAAAAGACGCCAACAGCTAAACAACAGTTCCATAGAGAACATAAATATTATGATATTTTTTAAATTAAAAAATATTACAATTAAAATAATTGATGACGATGAATCTATTTCCACCCATGATTCAGCTGGCGTCGTTTGTACGTTGTCTGAATCGAATTAGCATCACGAATCTCCAGCACTCATAGTTAATCAGATGTATCTTCGAGTACATTTCAAATCTGAATATTTACTCTTTACTTTGTCTTGAGCTAATATTAACTCTTAAACACACTCATGAGGCCAAATGTAAGCCAGATTCTTGGAATACCTACACACGTTTATATTATCAAGAGTATTGCGAACTGATATTACAAAATCTGTACAGCTCCTAAATCATAAATCCGATTTGGACTGACTGTTCAATGTTTGTTTGACAATGACCCAAGAAATAAATTCAAATAACTATTTAGAAATTTCTACATTCGTAAACATTATATACGAGAGTAAAAGACATTCGAAATAATAAAACTAATATTTTAAAACAGTTTTTTATATATAATTTACCAATGAAAACTCATTCAAAATACGTAAACAGGAAGAAATATTAAATATTTTATATCATTTTACCATCCTAGATACAGTAGAGGATGCTACAATAATATTGCATTGAATACATTATAATAGAGTAGGGATTAGCTGGGTTTGCGTTGTAGCTTATTTCTTTGAGATCAATGCAGCTCCAGAATGAGTATACACATAGTTTGATTTAGCCATAACATCCGTGGCCTGTGGCGAAGCTGAAGTTAGTATTTGCATAAATCTGATCTAGATTCTCCAGCGCTAATCTTTTTAACTGTATTAAATATGTTTGCTTGAACATTCTTTCGGGTCAGTATTTCACTTTTTTATCGTAAATTAATGTTATGTATTTTATGACAGCTTTTGTTTCATTCAAATCTGTTTATAGTTTTCTGAGCGTATTCTTTGCATACTAGATCATCCCGAATGTTTTTTTGCCATGACCCAAAATCTAGTATAGTTTTAAATAGTACTTATGAGAAACTTGAGATATAAGAAATACCTTAAATATGCTTCCTTTTTTCCTCAATTTCGTTAATGATGTACCTAGTTGATATAAATTTTTTAACGAACGCAACCAAAGTTGTTCGTGGTTGCGTATATTGTGTAGAGCTCGCGACAGTTGTAATGACTATCAACATGAAGTAAATTCTGTTCGGTGAACATCACTCACATACGTTTTTTACTCATATTTGCTAGCGCCGCAATAGTAATTACTCGACGGCGACATGAGAGTTTATTTAGTCGAATTGGATGCAGTGAATCATTTTTACGTACGAGACTTCATACAGACTTTTCTAAAAGTCACATAGACATTGGTTAGTTAAACATTTCTAGAGCTACTTGGAATTATGATTTTCAAATAGAATTTAATAAATGAATAGTGACGGAGTACGATATTGAAGTTGTAAATTGTGAAGTTCATTTTAAAATAGTATGTTGAAAAAATTTACATCAATCATAAATATGTATTGAAATTTTTAAAAATATATATGTAATAAAAATTTATTATGTTACAGCTAACAGTATTTCACTTTTGCTTTTTGATTACAAATGTTGAATTTCATTAATTTTTTAATACAATTCCGTAACTCATTAATTAATTGTATACTGTTACAAAAATTTCTTTATCGATGCTTTTTAACTTCATAAATGTGGTATACATTACATTTGCTTTCATTACTAAAATGTAATGCCGTTATTTTATATTTTAATATAATTTGTGAAGTATTATTGTTGGTTCTTTTCATCTGCGTCATCGCTGGCTGATTATCCGATATTCCCGGTATTGAGCTCGGTAACTATATTGTGGTTATAACCACTCTAGTAAAACAAACAAACACACACATATTATATATATACGTATATATATTATGTATTTTGTCAGTAAAATAAGCGTCATAATTTAACATCAAATATGCGTATATATATGTCTTGTTTTTCGAATGTTTTATAATTTTAAATAGTAAACGCAAGCATGAAATGGTTAAAAGTTTAATTGAAAAATATAAATGTTCATATAATATTTGTCGACATCGAATCACATTGTTAGAATTCAAAAGCCCACAAATGTCAATTAGGAACGAGCGAATCGATGACTCCGACCGTACAACTTTTAATTTTAAAAATTCAAAATCGTGGTAAACAATTTTCTATTATTATAGTACACAAAAACACGTTTCGATAATATAGTGAAAAAAATATTTTTGGAAGAAGTATTATACATTTTTATCGATCACTGTTTCTTTTATACATCTTAGTTTTTTAATAGAACAGAAAAATACAAATAAATATTTTAATAATATGTAAAAAAGATGAAAAACAAAATTTCTCTCTTAAGGATTGCAATATATGCAATTTTCCAGCCCACGGACATGTTAAATGCGTTATTTCCAGTTGAAATATTTAATTTTTAATATGTACGAAGTCATTGAATATTAAAGAGAACTACGATTTTAATAACTGAATTTTCAGAAGCGTTTCAAACATCAATAACTTTAATAAGTCTGAAAAGACCAAAATACTCTTTATATCATATAAATTATGAAATAACCTTATAAATAGTTGGTATAAGATTTAAAGAATAAAAAGGATTTTTGCGATAGCTTCATTTTTGTTTTTAATTTGGATTTTAGGTCTCTAGTTACAAATGGATACAATTTTCGTGTTATTCTTATCAAGCCCTTTTATTTGATACCCAAATTATATGTATAAGGGCATTAAATACTAGTCCACCATCTTTTATATGCCGACATCATGACATAAGAATAACGTCACAAAGTGAACCAAGCATCGGTATCCAAAGTGAAGTTGTGTAAAAAAACTATTTGAATCGTTTGAAGATAATTGCTTAAAAATTAAGTTGCAATATTTCCACCCTAATAACTGATATACCTATATACGTTTATTGTCAATGAAAAAGCTTGTTAAAAATGTTTAAGCCTGAGTGATATTAACAAATGTTTGAAGGAAAGAAACGAAGTAGATATATATAAAAACACGAATAATGCTACAATGCGTTATTAAGAAGAAATTTCATGAATTCATCGTTATCAATGATTTTACCGTCATTATTATTTACAAAAGAAATAACTTCATATTGATGTTTATATTTTTATCAGCAAATTTATAAGATACCTATACTGGTGTTCTGTATATCAAAATGTAAGAGACGTTTCTTATGTGAAAGATGGCAAACGAACAGACGGCCTACTTGATAGACAGTAGCTAGCGTCGCCCATGGACATCCGCAACATCTCTGTTACGGATGCGTTACCAACCTTGTTTTTTTGTAGGAATAGGGAAATGTCAGGAAAAGGTGGGAATAGGGAAAGGGCAAGCGGCTCTTTCACTCATCGGTCGAAACACAGTCATTAAAAGCTACTTCATTGCGATCTTCTGTAAGAGGGTGGTACTTCCCCGGTCAAGCTAGCCCGTGATCGTTGTGTAGTTACATAATTACAGCTAGGCTCTACCACCTAAATTCTTGTAATTTTAATATATTATATTTTTCTTATAATTATAGGTATTTTTATTAGTTCGTCAAACTTCATACTGAGCCTTTTCAGATTTCCATTCATAAAGCTTGGCACACAAAAGTGGGATCGGAGACTTACATTTAGCCACAATGCTCTTTAGTATTGTAACCTCTAAAAAGCCTGATTACCTTCTCCAAAAAATCAAATGGGCACGAGAAGGAAAGAAATATGTAATAAGAGGTTCAGCCTATCGGATCTCCGTACCGAGGCATAAGACAGCTGCATTCCGCGGCAGTTTCAGCTACGCCTCTAGCAAAATTTGGAATATCATACCTCCCCCATTACAAAATTCGCAATCATTATTTAATTTTAAAGTGAAGATTAGAGCATATTTATTAGAAAGACAAAAAAGCGTTATCTAGAGGCGAAAACTATCGTATGTATGTCTAGTTTGACTTGCAAATTTCACTTTTATCAAAGACTTGATTCTACAATCTAAATAAGCTACTTTTTTATTTGTTTATTTTATTTTCCCTTAGGTAAAAACCTTTAATAGATGCTGTACAGCTACTGGTCCAAAACATTAACAGGTGGCAACTGAAAACCAGCGCTGCAATAGATTCAAATTTATTGCAGCAGTACGCTGAGTTGCAGCCATTTTGGGTTAAAACACCTCAATTCTGTCTCGATAAGATTAAAATAATTTTAATTTTAAAAATGGTGGTGGTTTTTTATCTTATTATTATTTTTAATGTTTGTTTTGTTTCTGTTCACTTTTTATATGTTTTTTATTTGTAATGGTGTTTTAACTTGAATAAACTATTTATTATTTATTATTTATTTACGAACGAAAAACTCCGAACGTTCTGTATTTAGTTTAACCCAATGTTAAGGTTTCTGTTATATATCCTGGTCCCTGAAGCATTCTCGCCCCTGTTCGTCTTACTTAACCAGTAATATATTGAGAATTGGAAGTGACAGTGTTCTTAGCTTCTGTGATTTATTTGATATCATTTGATTGATGAGCATGATGAATTATATAGGTATCCTTACCCTATTAAAGACACGATCTCTTTTTTGGCTATCAGACATAAAGGTTTTTTATTAAATCTTTCGAGATACTGGGACAGCAAAAGTTTCTTCACGTTTCGTAATTTTCTTGTACGACATCGAAAAAATTAATAACATCGAAAATCATAATATTATATTATGTATAAGTAAATAATAACTATAAGTGAAGTGTCATCAACCAGAAAACATTCCTTCAAAATAATGATCAATAATTATTTACTTTTATACGAGGTGCAAAAATGTAATATTCTTTTCAGATAGCTGAAATTAAAATTTGTTTGCACTTGCCAGAATCCAATTTAAGTATATAACGTAATAATTTTGAAAGTCAAAACACTGGATTTAGTAAAGGCACCAAAAATTATTCATAAATATATTTTCCACAGCCTCGGAACGCGCTCGAGACAGAAATAGAAGTGATTTTTTTGTATAAAATATTTCTGGCACTTCAACGTTTACACAATAAAAAATTAATGTTTTTTAAATACTCATTTTAAGTGTCGTTAATGTCTTTCGAGGTCAACTTTGTATTGTTTCATTTAAACGTGCTATAACAGAACATTAATTGAATGTAGGCGAAGTTCTCATATTCATCGTTTTTGATATTACTATGAAGTACTGTTATCCTGACTTATAGCATTTTACAATTTTTACTTGAGGTTATTGATATACATAAGAACGGATAAGAAAGCTTTGTCCCAATACTATTACCTATTCTTTCTATTTTGATGTCTTAAATCGGCTACAATGTTAGAATTTGTGCATGAACCGGCTATAATGTTAGAATTTGTGCATTATGTAGGTCTCTTCGACTGGGTACGAATTACTTGCTTACCACGAGTTCGTATCGTCACCCTACAAATGAGGCATTTTGAGTTCTTATTTGATAACTCACGTAAATATGTACAAAAGTATGCGAAGAGTTATGACTGAAAAACTGAAAGCGGTCTGTTTGTAATGTGACGACGCATACTTAATGTAAAAATTCCTATAAAATACATATATGTTAAGTAAATATTTTATACTTGTAAAGTTTTTATTGTTGAAGTTGATTAATAGTAAAGAAACGTAAACATTGTTTACATTAAAACTTTTCTATTCTGTTTGTACGGTATGTACATATCTTCAGTCATATAATATAGATTTCTGTAGCCAAGCTTCTATTTTTTAATGATTTTCAGGGTGATATCCAAGTAGCATATTCTACTAAATATTTAATTGCGTAGCCGCACCCCTACAGCCACACTTGTAATAAAGAATAAACTGTAGCATTTAGTGACAACCCTATTATTGTGAGGCTTTATATAATTACCCTCCTCTACCGTTAGGTACCCGATTCCACCGAGCCACGAGTTTATAAGACCTAACAAGCATTTATACAATAAATATAACCATCTCTTGTTCAGCTGAGATCTTACTACGTCTCATTTTCTGCAACAATGTTTCTTAATACAATACTCCATTTCATTCTATAAGTGCAAGCTTGGTGTTTTTTTTTTATTATATGTACTATATAAAACACATTAAAAGGAATACAAATATTAATTTTATTATAATTTTTATCCACTCTCAATATTATTATGCGAGTGCTTAATAAAGACAAACAATCAATTTCAAGTCACGTCCTTACATTTGATTGCTACTAACGAAGGTTCATAGAACATAAAGAGTGTGACGTCACACGGCAGGAAGTCTATTACCGTAGTTGATCCTTTTAGGCTAAACGGATATTCAAGTGATGGGATTGTCTGTCTACTCCGCGACTCCCTCGGGATCGCTAATTTTCGTAGTCTGCAATGTTACGATGATATTGCATTTTATAAAATTCACCATTCCTTTATTACAGTAAGAAATATGTAGTTACTGGATAAACATTTCTTGTTGTTTGAATATAATAAAAACGTGACATGGACCACACTTTATCCTAACACAAAATATTTTATCCACAGAATGTTTCGTGATGAGTTGTTTATCTGTCGCGTGTTGTTGGACAGTTTGTTCCCTAACTATGCGAGACCTTTGAGAAGAAACTTTGTAAATTTTTCTTGTCATATTAAATTTATATTCTATATCAGAAATTACCTTAAATTTTTAAAGTTAGATAGAGTTATTATTAAATCGGTAAGTTTAGTTTTTAAACAGACCTTGTAAAGAATGCCAAAATGTATTATACATTAAAAATGTTATATCAGATCATGTGACGTTATAACGTTTAAAAAATATATTTTCCTTATTTTTAAAGCTTTAAGATCACAGTTTGTTATCACGCCAAGGTTTTGGTGTTGTTTTGAGTATCATATTTTATTCTTTGTGTCATATTTGTCGATGTCGCTTATATAACTATTCTCGGTAACGAAGGTTCGTCAGAAAAATGTACTACATTTTTCATATTACAATTAAGAAATTCAAATTCAAGAGAACACCTGAGTGCACTTTCATTATAGAAGCACGAGACATGTCATTATTTCCTGAACTTACCGACTAAAGTTCACAATGAATTTTGCGTGATTTTTTTTTATCACTATATGTTTGAAACATACATCCTTATCATTCGTTTTTAAAATTTTAGCGATATTAACACTTAAGGAAGCCATCACAACAAAAATGTTTTTACAATTAAAAAAATATGGCGTCAAAGCCTGCAGCATTAATTAATCAAATCGTTGAACTGTGACGAATGTATGATGATGCCATTACTTTGTAGCAGGGGCCATTATACGGCTTCATAACAATCGACTCCGACCAATTTGTATGCATTGTTCAAAAGACAGTCGATAAACAATGTACCCACAATTTTTATAAAAGCATCCAATATTTCACAAATACATTCCCTAACATTTTAACGTGAATACTATAGCTTGTATCCTCATTGTTAAAACCATACAAGTTGTGTTACAGCTAACGTTATTACTTCGTATATCTAATAAAAATGATAATTTAATGGTAGTTTTATTCAACATAAACTGTTTATTTAGTATAGTTTCAACGATATTGTTTTGTGCGAAGATAGCTTTTTGTAAGATAATTGTTTTTAATTGCATTTGCACTCATTAAATCTGATGTTTCTATTGCTTGTATTAATCAGCTTCCGAACATCATTTGGGATTGAATTATTTGTTATCTACAAATAATATATGTAATATATAAGTGTTTATATATTGTTATGTTTTGTTGCAGTATTTTATTTGCGGACATCGTCGGTTTCACGGTATTGGCGTCGCAGTGCAGTGCTCAGGAGTTGGTGAGGCTTCTCAACGAACTCTTCGGCAGATTCGATCAACTTGCCAATGTAAGAATTGTTATCATACAAATTAAAATTTCAAAATCATAGTTTACGAGAATAGAATTTGTCTTGATCTAAGAATATCCAACTAATAATGAAGCTACAAACACAAATTGGTAACAATTATAACAAATACTAACATGAAAAACAAAACAAAAATAAAATCACCTGTTGCACACGCTATGGTCGAAGGTTATACGAATTTAGTCCAACGAAATTATTTCAGTGACGCGGCGTCTATTAATAACGTTTGTTATCGTTCTACCAAAATTAAAATCATCTACATATTTTTTTCATCCAGGAAATAAATTACTCTTGAAAACAAATTAATCTTCGACTCGCGAGAAAAATATTTTACATTAATTAAAAATATTTTACATTAATTGAATTCGTCTAAGACGTGTATATAAACAATTAAGATTTCCATGAAACGCTTGTATGTTATGAATTAAAAAAGTCTTCAATGATATTGCAATATATAAATATTGTCGCGTAATTCGCGTTAATATCCACAATATATCGCGTATTGATCGTATTAAATGGGTTTGTTTTTATTTTGATATAATATTAGTTTAAGTGTTCTAATATTAGTTTAAGTGTTCTAACTTCTATTGTCCAGGATAATCACTGTCTCCGCATCAAAATCCTGGGTGACTGTTACTACTGCGTGTCCGGGTTGCCAGAGCCTCGGTCCGATCACGCTCGCTGCACCGTCGAAATGGGATTAGATATGATAGACGCCATCGCGTAAGTTAATATTTTATATGATATAGATATTTATTTAAAAAAATATTGGTACATATAAGCCGTTTTTGTTACTTTGCCGTACTTAAAATACATGTTTAAACTGACGTCCTTTAAATGAATCTAATATTTTCGTATTACTAGGCGTTATTTTATTATTTTTAAAAACTACATACTCCCGACGTTTCAGTTTCTTTTCAGCAACCGTGATCACGGGCAGACGAGATGTCTAATATAAATTTCGCATTATTGATTGTATTCTATTTATTATATGTATTACATATATTATTGTATTAACATATAATGCGATGATCTAATTGTAATCGTTGCAAAGATTGTGTCACGAGATTTCTCTTGATACATGAACTCCGTTATGATTAATGATCGCGTGACTTCTAACACTAATGAATTATTTATTGTTTCGTTTTTTATAAGCTCCTAATTCAATAATAATGCTGATAAGCTTTGTGTTCGTTTATTAGCACATAATCCATAACCAGTTGTAAGAAATAAATAGTTATTTTTCATAATGTTATCTAAGATTTTCCCCTTTATTCATTTAAATGAAACGAAGTTTTTCGGATATTACGTTTTTTGTTACATTAAACTACATACTTTCGACGTTTCGGTTTAATTACAGCAATCGTGATCACGGACAGACGAGATCAGGAGACACATTTTAGTAGAGATACTTATGTAGTTATAGTAAATATAACAAAAAACGCATAGTGTGGGACAAAAGCTTAGTTTTATTAATTTGTCGTATAAATTAAAAGTTAGCTTCACAATTTGTGAGCCCGAAACTCAAACATTTTTATATCGAAGTTATATGATGACGTGTAAACCGAATTCTTCATAAATATATTAAATTCCAGCTCTTTTAAAACATTTTACCGAGTTATATTTTATTCATTTGGAAAGTATGTGAAAGTGTTCTGAATATTTACTTAGCTTCGGTGATTTACTTCAAAGGTACGAGGTATGACCGCAGTTTATCCTGTATAATCCTTTCTAGGAGACTGTTTTCTCTAAATTTCTATTCATTTAAGGTCCGTTACACATGTTCTTTGTATATTTAATGAGAACCAGACCTTTAAAAGCATTCGCCTTTGTAATGTATATGTTATACGATCACTATATAACTATTTTGTTCCACGTACTACCCAATTACATATGTTTACATATGTGTTTAATCAATCATATTCATATACATATAAACCTACATATAATACATATATTACAGGAAATCATAAGAAAGAAAAAAATATGTTTACATAATAATTTATGTTATTATTATTTATATAAATACTTCTAGATTTTATTGTTTAAATTCACATATTATTTACAAAGGCTACTCATATTTTTTACCTGTTGATAAAACGACTTAGTCAATAATGGTCAAAAATTTTCCTACGTATCAACCTTGATATGTGTACGTGCTCATAAACAAACTAAGAAATTACCTTATTTTTTGGGTCCGTTGTAATTAATGTCCGTTAACACGCATCACTTTGAGACTCAGGTTCAATCTTGGGCAGTGAAAAATAAGGGTTGATGGAAGAAAAGTTCATAAGAAAAACATGCAAAACACAAAACCGCCGACCCTGAGCCCTGTACTGAAAAAAAAAACACTTTATTATGCCATATATTTAAAAATAATATAAAATAAATTATACATATAGCTAGTCTATTTATTTTCTATGTCAAAATCTGTAGTTATGCTTATTATGTAAGAATATGTCACAAGCTTTAGTTTACGACTCCTGTCACAACTGACAGTTGACGTAATGACTAGTGTCATGGCGGCTATGGCGTGACGTTTTTAATTAAATAAAAAAAAAGCTAAAAAAATAATAATAGTTACGTGAATTGTTACTTCTGTAGAAATAATATTTTATTTATTTCAATTCGTGATAATGTGATACCAGTCCTACAGATATTTGAATATATCGGTGATTGGTATCTACTATCTAGATTTGACCGAGTCAGTTTTGTGGGTTAACTCGTGCGAGTCAAAGGTATAAATCAAGCATTTTACGTTTGACTTATACACGGCTGTGACCGCACCCCAAATGTTCACTTCTTTGTCACAAATATCTTCCACTAGAGATAATATCTTAACATTGATTTACGTTGTCCGTACTTGATCAGATAAAACATATTTACAATGACTGTGATTAAAAACACATAACAAAAAACTATAGCAAACAATTTTTTCGTCGTATTCTATTTGTAGTTTATGTTTGATGTTATTAAAAATTATATATTGCTTTGTTCCCGTTGGCAGACGGCTAGTGAATTGACGTAGCACGTAATGCAAAATATATAGACGCGTGTTCATTCGTCACATCGGCGACTCACTCAATGAACAGAGATAACATCTTAAAATCGATATAGCAATATTTATATACATTAATATTGTAATTATCATTACGATTTATTAAGTTGGTTACATAGAAACTTTCATCTGAGGATTCAAAGCCACATTTACACTTTTATTTGGATGCATCGTGTAGCGGCAATAAATTTTCTACTTGACCTATTTTACACACGATTGAACTCTTGATCATCCATGCGTGTTTATTTAATTATTATAATTAATTTAATTATAATTTTTAATACATTGTCAGTTTTATCGTAACATAATAAAACTCAGTATAATTTTCTTTATAAGTTTAATTTTATTGTCCCTTGGGGTATTCAAATTTAAAGGTGATTTGATCGAAACCTATAGGGATAAAAAATAAATAATAGAGCGTAATGTAATATTTATAAACAGTAACGTTTCGCCTCTGGAGAGGAAAACAACCAGCCTCCCTCGGCCCATAAATAATATAGAGGCCTTTGTAGGTCACTGAAGATTTTGCTTGCAGGCTTGCATCCGACATGTATGAGATAAACAGATTTAATAAGCTTTTAGGCTGAAATTTATGCTCCATCGAAGTTATTTTGACTGTTCAAATAACAATGCACATTCATGTAACTAGTCAATTAGTTATCAACAGAGTAGTAGGTGAACAAATCGCCTTGATTGATACGCTAAAGTTTTATAAGGGCAGAAAGCACATGACCGTACACGAATGTAGTTCTGAAAGAAAGTATATCATAAAAATTTTAATAACGTTAAAATTTTCTTCTTATGTCCATTGTGCAGATCTTAATCATTTGTGTAGTTTAATAATTCATAATATGACAATTGAATTGAACAACAACGATTATTTCTATTTTGTGAACGTTGTGGAATAAATACAATGTCTTAAATTGTGTGTTACATACATAGAGCTTGTCGAAATATTTTATCAGTTCATATATCAGAAGGCAGTCGGTAAGCGGTGCATGTCGAGATAGGGCCTTATCTGCAGTCGCTCAGCCAGCCCTGTTAAGTTTCTTTGTCAGTGGCACGCCGCGAGGTGGTCCATAACAAGGTCAGGGGTCACTGCTATCAAACAGACTGACGGACGACCGTCGTTATAAACGTTTACATTACTTATTAAGATACTAAACTACCCACTTACTGCCTGTTTTAATATATTATTACATCATTTATATTATTTGTAGAATACATCGAATGGTATTACTATAATAGAGTGAATGGTACACGAATTGGAGGAGGTAAATTTTCTTGCAACTCCATAATGGCTGTACTGAATTTAATTAATTTTAGTTGTAATTAAACCTATATATATGAATGGTCAAGTGTGTAGTGTGATTGCTCTGTGGTCGGTGCGCTATTGCTGTGGTTGTAACATGTTCTGACTCGTTCGGTCACCGCACCGCAAATCTTATATATGATCGTGCGTCCTTACAATTATTATGTTACTGTAATCTATAATATATTATAAATACATTGTAAGTCAAATTGCAAACCGTTATTATAGGACGGCCGGTAAATTTATGTATTACGTCCCACCCTAATCCGTTACCTACGAGTATATCTCTTCTAACAATTCCATGTTATAAATTCAAAACTGTTTATGCGTTTTGATGGATGTTTTATTCAGTTAAATGTAATCACTTTCGGCTGTAATTTGGTAAAAGTAATTTGAATATGATCACAATAATATGCTTAAAACTATCGAGAGACAAAACAACAAATAATTTATTATTTATTTATATATACAGTTATATTTTATCTTTAAATATAAGTTTATAAAAAAAACTATTTATTTAATAAGCTCTTTTAAGTTTAATTATGTATATTAATAGAATTAGGGTGGTTAACAGTTTAAAACAGTACAGTCGTGCTTATCTTCTACACGAGAAGATAAAACGGTGGATATTTCTTTCTGGTAGTAAGTATACTGTTTTCTAGAAATTATAATTTTTGGATGGCATCCAAAAAGTTATTTTTCATTGTGAATATCTTGAAATAAATCAACTAAAAATTGTGTCAATAAAATATACTGTATCGATACTTATTTTAAGAACTATACATTGTTTTAAATATGAATTTATTCAGGGCAGTTCTGATGGTGCTATATTTTTGGACTTATTATAACTCGCGTACTCGGTTTACACATTAATTTTAACTTGAATTTGCATGCTCACGGTTACTGCGAAATAATTGAAAGTTGAATCCAAAATCCACCTACAATAAAATAGAGTTTTTAATTATTAAAAATGTTTCACAGAAAAACCAATTCCGAGTATAGTGTTAATAAATGCAACTTGCGAATTAAAAAAATCTGTTTCTGTCATACATTATCATTCAATAAGATAACATCTTCATTAAAACTAGTGAAATGGAATGATTGTTTATAATCTTCTTCTTCTATATATATAAAAATGGATTGCTGTTCCTTAGTCTCGCTAAAACTTGAGAACGGCTGAACCGATTTGGCTAATTTTAGTCTTGAAATACTTCTGAAAGTCCAGGGAAGGTGTAAAAGGTGAGAAAAATTGGAATAATTGCCGGGAAAACCCTAAAAACAGCCCTTTTCTATTTCCCATACAAATGTTTTTTTTGACATTAGATTTGACAATTAACTAATATGTCAATCATT